GAAGGGGGGTTTGGGGGGCCCGTCCCCCCCCAGAAAATGTTTGAAATTAGACCCCCTTATTTAGATGCGTTTTCTGCGCGAGCAGGGGGGGGGTCCGGACCCCCTGAACCCCTGTACACGCCCCTGAAGACAAATCTGTCTTTATTATATTCTGATGACTCGTGAGTTACTGCAAACTGCATGCAGTGCCTCTTCGCCCACTCAGGATATCATAGATTGAGATGATTGAGATAGATTCTAGATTGAGCCCATGAGCGAGAGCGCCATCTGTCGCAAAGTTTGGAGGTTTGGAGCAAACTCCACGACAGGTGGCGCTCTCGCTCTGGCTCAATACTATCCGGAGAACGTTGTGCGAAGGTGGCGCTGCATGCAGTTTGGGTTTGGAGTTACTGTTCAAAAATAATTCTTGCGTCTCGCGAGATTTCACTGAGGATAAACATGGCTGCGCCCATGACAAGTACAGGTGAAAGTGACACAGACGTTAATGTCGATGAGGAGAAGTCCGTATACATCCAAGCGTTGTATAGTGTGGGAGTGACAGCTGCAACATACCCACTTACATATGCTAAAGTTCTAGTTCAGGTAAAGCAATAATAAAACACAGAATAGAGCCTAAGGCTGAGCCGTGAGCGCTGAGGCAGTGTACTTCTAAGTTATACTTCTACTTCTACTACTGGACAGTCCGTAACTGTAAGGAATAAACGTCCAGCTATAGCTATAGCTAGCCATGGGGTGTGACCTAGCTTGGGTACAGCCAGGTAGTTAGCCTTTTAGCTTTTTGTGTAATGCATGCCATGCCATTGGCATTTTTGGCATTAAAAATCAAATAACTTTCGATATCAGATCGGTGTATCAATCCACAATGTTATTTTTAGATTGGACATGAGCCTATTGCTCCGCATCGTACAAGGACCATTTTTGGACGAGATGGTCTGGCACTTCCTAATGTCTTCAAATATGGTAACAAGGATTGTATATTCATAATTTATTATATATTATAAATTCATATGGTGGATGCCTAGCCTGGCATGTTTGTGTGGATGTGTACCCATTCCCCAACAATATCTACACAAATCTGACACTTTTATGTGATGGTAATTGTAATTGACAGATAATAAATGTTTCAGTTGGACACATCAGGCGGGTTGATGGATACTTTGGTTTATATCGTGGGATCACCTATAAAATCGCCTCCAATTTTGTTGGCAACGTGGCTGTGAACCATGTTATGCAGGTATACGTAATTGTCATTGTCTGCATGATAACTTGTTTGACCCACGTGTTTAATGTAAACGTCTTAAGAATTCTAAAATTCACAGATTTCTTAATTAGTAATTATAATGTATGGATGCATAATACAAACTTATATTCACCTTCACATAATCGAGCATTAACATTTTCCTATTATTTAAATAAAGAAAATGAAAGCATCCAGTGTGTGGAGCAGAAACAAACTCGGGAGTGAGCTGGATGGTGACAAAGATGCCGAGGACAATAGTTTTCAGGATTTTCTTAAAGAAGTAAGTGTGAGAAAGGAAATTAAATTTTTGATTATTGCCAAACTTAAGTCAGCATTAGATTTATCCTTGTACCGACTGAAAACCTTGGGCATTAAATCAAAAGACTTGATTCTCATTTGCAAGTAAGTTGAATGTTATTTGTAAGGACTGTTAGAAATAGCTATATGTAATTCTAACAATGAGATGTGTCCAGGAATAACAATATTGTTCATATAGAAACGGATGACCGTTAATATTTGTTAACTGAACTGTTTTGCTAAATCTAAGAAAGGATATAATATATGTTTCCTATTCGATTGTAGACTGCAATGCAATCGACAGCGCAGGGAATTGCTGTGATAGTGTCACATCCATTCCATGTGATGGCAATTCGATCCATGGCACAGTTTGTTGGTTGTGAAGATGCATACAGGTCTGTAAATGTAATGAATGTGCTCAGACAGAAATTAAAATAAGATAATCAATGTCTGTATAATGGATAGCCAAATAAGTCACATTAGACAACTGGAAGTGGTTCTTGTTGAGGTCACAAGTAAAAACTGCAAATGTGTTTTTTATTTTACCTTTTTGATATTGCAGTGGGTGGTTTTCAGCTATAGGAGAAATATTTGACCGTGACGGCATACTGGGATTTTTTGCGTATGTTTACCTTCCTTCTTTATTATTAATAATTTAGCTAACTATACGATATTTTGTGTATAGTAAAATTAATACGTTTAGAATATAGCCGATAATGAACAACTTCTATTGGCATGATTATTTGTTGCACAACGAAAAGAAATCACACTAGATGCAGCAATCAATACACCTATGAATGGCTGATGGCAATGTAATATACTGTTAATACACCTATGTTTTGTATCAAGAAATTTTTACTTCGTACATTGTACAAGAATGAATATATATTAGAATTTGAATACCGTATTTACTCGTGTATATAAATCGCACCCCATATTTTGACTTGAGAAGTTGGTACAAACATTGGTACATTAACAAGATTTCTTAGCGTCGTGTATAAGTCGCACCCCTGATTTTTTTATTGAAGTTGTGTACAAAAAAGCGAGAGTTATACACAAGTAAATACAGTACGTATATTTAATGATAGGAGTAATGTGAATTATGGCTTCTCTTAGTGAGCCACTCTCGATCTGTTTAGCTCTCCTACAATACTCGGCTATACACACCTTTTTAATGTGCAGGGGTTTGGCACCGCGGTTGATCGGGGAGCTTCTGACACTGTGGATTGCCAACACCATCACTCACATTCTCAACAACTTCATTATAGAGGACGTCGAAGCAAAACAGTACACTGGAGCAGTAGTGAATGTACGCTTGCACCTCTTGCTACAGCCCACATTATTATTAATATTAGTAATATTACTGCTACTATTATTATTATTATGATTGTTTATTATTATCTTATTTAACTAACTCACATACTTGACAAGCCCACATTATTATTATTATTGTTATTATTATGTTTATTATTATCTTATTTGACTAACTCACATACTTTGCAAATTTTATTAAAAATGCTATGATGTATATGAAAAAATGGTTGCATTCTTTCTGTTTTACAGCTGTTGGCAGGGACACTGACCTACCCATTCTCTGTCGTGTCGGCAGTAATGGTTGTCACTCACTCTGGGTATGAACCAATAGTAAACTTATTCTTCAAGCTATAGGTATTCTAGTTGTAAGAAACGTGAAAGAAATCACAAAATGTGGTAACCACAGCTTCCCGATTTCAATTCTGATTTCATTACTTTATTGTGTATGTGTTGTATGATCCGAAAACTCGAACAACATAGAATGTGGACATCCTTACTGTGAAAACATGTCGTTGCAAAATATTGAACCTTTAGGTTGCACCGAGTTATCAGCTATATGAAGCAGAATTCTCTGAAAGCCAGGTCTCTTTACAGCGTCTAAAAATACAATTTATTCACTATGCAGTCTAGCGGCGGGAAGTCCACCCAACATGTTGCACTTTAGAAACTGGATTCACTGCTGGAGACATCTAAGCAGAGAGGTAACCTTTTGAATTCACTGATCCATCACATGTAATCGAGGTCTTGTTTGTGATTTATGATAAATTGAGTAGGTAAATGTAGATAATGCCAAATGCAGCAATGCGAACAACTGAAATCCTTCTCGCTCCAGAATGCGTTAAAGAGAGGCTCAAGCATGCTTTTTCGTTACTACACACCACCGGTTATAATGGCAGTCGAGGAGCCTATAGGATCCAAGGTAGCCACGGATTCATTACTTGTTACGCCGACACCCCTGCCTCCTCCGCCGCCTCTGGAACATCAGTGGAAGTACAACTAAATCTGTGAGCTTGGAGTGTGTGCCTATAGAAGGCACACAACCTCCATTACACAGTATGTCCCTGGAAACAGGGACTTGCATGAGGATGCATTGATTATGCCCTCACAGTAAAATTGCTAGTTAAGATTTAATATGCATTTTTGATTGCATGCGAGTAGTTAATGCATAAACACATAGTAAACTATAGAGACAGTGTAGGTGTCGAGTGAACCTTACTAAACAAAGTAGTTGAAGAATTCAGATGTTTCCCTATTTCATTTACCATTAATTTATCTGGAGGTTTACATGCAGAACACGTCTGCTCGGTAGTAGTTCTGTAAGTGTGATCTAGAGTTTTTCCTCATGATCTTTACTGTAAACACAACTGCAGAGACTGTGTTTGCTAGTTTCACAATTCGTTGAGCTATTTCCTTTTTCTGATAGTTAAGTTTCAATGGTATCGATCTGGGTATTTACTGTGTTATTGTTATTTTCTTGAGCTCTGTAACAATAATTGCATTTACTTAATGTTAGATCAGCTGACGCGAGAGATAGGATTAATGTAAATAACTAATCTAATAAATATTGGTGTTATAAATCACGCTATATTGTTTTATCAAGTGATTTTAAAAAACCATTCCCGAAAATTGTCCTTGACTTCATTGAAGGTTTTCTTTAGTTAGGTTCCTATTGCTCTCTCTTAATACTTTGAAAAAATGCAGTTGCAACATTTTCAAATTAAAAACAACAAAAAGAAGTTATGTTGTGACATGTCAGCACCTATTTATTTTGTTACCCCTTTTTAATGCTGGGTCAGTAAAGAAAAATTGTCAATAAAGACGAGAGGAAATGAGTATCAACTTTTTTAAATGGAACCTGTCACAGACAACTAAACAGTGAAACCAGGGTAAACAATTCATGAAAGCAATCCTTTAGCAAATCGAGTGAGCCCTAGTCTCACCAGGTGGCAGCACTTCAATTGCTAGCATGGGTTAAACGAGGCCAGTCTACAGCCAACAAAACAGACCAAAATCAAAAACCCGTGAATTACTGAAAACCTTGTTACTTGAATTACTGTCACTCGCTCTGATATAATGCCACTTCTGCAATCAACTTCTACTAATGATTCGATTGTATCACAACATATACAAACTTATATTCTCACTGTGGTTAGAAAAGGTATGTAATACATGATCAAAACCTACTCCAGTTGGCTTGGTCTGTGTTTTAAGGCATCAAATGAATAAAGCCTGGGCACAACAGATACCACCCCACAGACTTGCCTAGTACAGAGACACCGGCAAACCATAAATAAGACAAACTGATCCTCATCCCTACAAAAAATAGCTGTCGCTAGACACGTCTTGTGTTTTTCGTCAAAATACAAATAATATCTATACACCATTATACACAGGTTTTACACAAGTGTACCAATCAATCTGGAATCGGTACACCTGCACTTGTACATGCACCGTAGTCAATTTTTGTTAGACTATTGCTGTTACGTTAGTAATGCCAACTGTTACTATGCACGTCTGTAAAATGGCTAATGAAACTTCGACAGCAGAAGACATATTTATGCATTCCGTTCTGAATGGAGTTGAAAAGATCAATGCTCGGTATTAGAAAATTTCCAAAAACCATTAAGCAAAACTTTATACAAGCAGAGATTATTGACAATTGGGGTTTGGGGGGGGGGGGGGTCAATGTAAATGTAAAAGTTATTATATGATATACAGCAGTGGCTCTGGTTTCATTATAATATTAGTTGCATTTGTAAATTACAGTAAAGAAAACAAGTTTACAAAACCAACAGCAATTTTCTTAATAGCAATCTTACACTGAACTAATAAATACGACAACGGGACCGAATCCGACCAGAAAAAATCGTGAAGTTGCTTTCATCATGATTTTGAAGTGCCTGTTCATAGCAGAAAAATACCGGCAGCATGTGCGAATGCTTGTGCTGTGTGCGCGTAAAGAAATAATTAAAAATAATTCACAAAAATCTCATCACCTAACTACTTTCCTACATACTCCTTCTCTCCGCCACTGGAGAAAAAACAGCCACCTTGTCTCTCACAAACGACAGCACCACAGCAACCATAGCTCTATAGAGTTCCACTGCAGAATTGTTAGCCAACCTAAACGCGACGTATCCGCACGCCTCGTTCGAAAGACCGTTGTCCGTTTACGCGCAGTATGCCAGTAGCCACCCTCTTGCTATTTCGCTCTCAGACCAGATTCTCCTCCATCGTGCTGCGCAGTGTACCTGGCAGCGGTGAGCCTCACTCCTCCGCCGGCTGTGTGCCTCACTCCTCGGGCGTGATGCTGGGGGCTACCTGAAGCCAAGACGCGAGACGGTCGCCGTGTTTACTGTCGATGCCGACACGCTGGAGATGCTGCGTGAGCGTGTCGCACGCTGACAGCGGCTTTGCCGTCGACAGCTCGCTGACGCTCTCGACGACGACGACCAGCTTCAGCACAAACTGCGACCTGGACGAGAGAGATAAGACAGATGTCATACAACCCTGCTTACTTCGGCACTGTAGTGGTATGCGCAACGTATAACTGAGCATTCCTGGGTGAAGGAAATGGCTAATGCCTCTGGATATTATTGCTAGGTCAGCTAACCTAGTTTGTGCATGGTGCATGCTAAAACCTAGTAACCACGCAATTTTGTGGAACATCCCGTCGCAATGTTAATTGGTTGGATCTGCCCATCAAAATTTAATATGCTTGGCGATACGGTCATTGCCTTCATGCCTAGAATCCTGCCTGGGACTAGACTCAAAAAAAGGCATCACCCTTACCCGTCTCGGAAATAAATTCTAATTTCGAAAATGTTGATTCCTACTACATAACCTACAGTGAAAACCATAAAAGTTAGCCAGTCCTGATCAAGCATTACCAGTCGTGGACTGAAGGATGGTCTGCTATTTCTAGCACCATCCTTACACTTATCTGCGGCATACAGACAGTCTGCTACAGTGCATATTGGTAACATAATATGATTGAATATACGAAGAAATACAGTGTATAATCTGATATATAAATGTTAAATATATATAAATATATATCTGATACAATTAAAAATCTGATGTCTCTAGAATGAGTTTGTGATGGTACACACCAATCATCTTGAGCTCTGGAGGAATCCACACCCAGGGAGTTGTTTGTATACAGCTCTTCCGCTCTGGTAAAGCTGGCAGCTAATAGCGAAGCACCGAACTGAAAGGAACAAAGGTAGCAGCTGTTACAGCAGTGCAGAAACAACTTCAGCCACATGGCTGCCTTATGACTCTAGTACTGAAGAGGATTAAGTACGAAAGTAACGTCAGCTACCGTAGTGCAATAAAACAAGAAGTAAACACAGTGTCTCAACTACAACCTTGGTACACACATCATGGTGAGAAAATAGAAATGAAAGTGTCAATGACACTGTAGCTCACCACAAAAAAGGACACAAAAGAGTGAGTAAGAAGAAGTCAGTTTTAATTGAGCAACGATCACCGTACATTATAGAAACGATTACCATCTGTATATCGCAATAATAATTTATAAACCACAAGTGCCGCAGAGCGACAGCGCTCATCTAACGTCTACTGCGGTGACTCTGTGGTGGAGTGGTGGGATTCTAGTAAACCCTGTTAGTCCCAAATGTGTTCAC